TTGTTAATTCATATAAATTTTAATTTGTAATTATTTATTTTTTATAAATATTTGATTATATGATTAAAAATAATTTTATTAGCATTTAGTAATGGCTATTTAATAATAATTAATTACTTGTATGGGAAATGTATTGTTTATAAGTATGAAGTGTGGCTGCAGTTTTATATATTAGATAGGCCTACTTGATTTTTCAATAATTGCTCTTTTATCTGTAAATGCGTTTCATACTCGTAAACAATACATTAGCAATACGCAATCAATTGAAGCTGTTTGCAAGTTGTTAGCAACTGTTAACAACTGTTAGCAACAGTTTGTAGCAATTTAGCAACTAACTCTAGCGTATCATATAAATAACAATAAAAATAATAACAAAAGAATAATAATAAAAGATATCCTTCGATAATCAAATGCACACGATTTAAATTTCGCGCCGCAGTGTGTTTGCAGCGTCATTCAACGGTGTCCGGCAGAAACTAGCCGCTATCTTCCCGGCGACTTAGTGAGGGAGCTAGTGAGCCAACAAACGAACGAACGAGAGTGAGTGTGAGCGAGAGAACGAGTAAGTACACGAGCCGTGCGAGCGTGCGAATGCACTGCTGCTGTGTGCCATAGTGCAACGCCATTTTCTGTGCCCGCGGGTAAAGTTTCGGTTCGCGTTTGTTGGTCGTGTGATCGGTTTGTTTGCGGCTGTCGCAACGTTGGGCGACGTCGCCCACGTTGATCGCCGCTACGTTTTTTGGCGAAAACCTCGTTGTTCTCCTTCTCCACCGCTTCTTCCGCCTCGCTACTGCTAGGCTTCACGCCCGGGATATGTGCGGACACGCGATGGATGGTCGTACGACGGATACGATGGTGAGTACGTAGTGAACGAGTGTGAGTACGTGTATGAGAAAAAGATATGATGAAACGAAAGAGAGAGAAAGAGCGGTTGGGAGCGACGAGATAGGAGCTCTCTCCGGTGCCTCGATGACTCGTGACACCGCATCTTGTCAGTCGGTCCACTTTTTTCCTATGGGATTGCGATAACGGAATTCTTGGAATCTCAATGACGAGATTTACGCGCCGCCACCGTCGCCGTTCAATAGGCAGCGATTTTCTTCAGCGGGGTGGCACATGACTATTGTCGCACAGGGACCACAGGGCGCCGGCTGTGTCTACTCTTTGTGCAAAGGGTGGTCCGCCCCGCACGAGCAGTCTCTTTCTCTCTCTTTCTCTTCCTCCCCGCCTCTCTCTCTCTCTCTCTCTCTCTCTCTCTCTTTTTCTTCCCTTCCTCCTTTCCTTCTTCCCTCTTTCCCGTCTACCCTCCTTTACTCCTTCCCTTCCTCCTTTCTCTCGGAGCGACCGGCTCTAGCAAAAGGCGCCTCTCGTCACTAGAGTTAGAATACGACGCCGATTCTGTTGAATGTTGCTGGTTATCGTGCGCAATAATTCATCGTGAGATAATGATTGGTCTTTAAATACTCGCGAGCCGTTATAATGAATAAAATTAGTATTATATTTTGAAGCAAGATATATATATAAATTAAACATATATTGGATTATTTAAAAAGTTTCTCATTTTTAAAATTTTTATTTTTAGAAAAAAATTAGAAATTTTTAAGCGGCTTGATACATTATTTTTTCTTAAGTAAAATCTTCAGAATGTAAAACAAAAACCACGCGAATCGTTATGGAACTGTGCAGTCTCTAGTTCTTTAATTTTTTATTTTAATTTTGATATAAATAATAAATGAGTAACGACTGATTAATTAATTAATTTTATCATCGACAGTTCTGCCATTTTTACATCGATATATTCTCTAATAAGAGACCGAATGCAGTTGTGCAAGTAAAGCGGTCGATATCTGTGTCCATTGATATTGTCATCGACAATCCTGTCGTTTCCGTCATTCGCTGAGAATAACATTTCGTGCGTGACACCCGATAGAAAAGACGTGAATCATTGAAAATGAATAGTTAAACATAAATAGTTAAACATATCATGCTATAATAATGCCATTGTCAACAGTTTTATCATTCAAGAACGCCGTATATTGTGTTATCGATTTGTACTCAAGTTACGATAACTGATATCTAGTATCTAGTTTTTGAGATTTAGATTATCGTTGTAGAATTGGAGTCAGTTGGGAAGAAAATTTTATACACAATTTAAAATTTCTTAAAATAGTAAAGCTAGTTTTAGAGCTGTAGAGATTTAGAATTGTAGTATTTTGAAATTTTTATTATTATGTTTGGAAACCTTTAAGATTTAAAAGTACTAAATCTTCGTATTTTAATTTCTGGAAATTTTGAATTTTGAAGTTCTAAAATGTTCTAAGATCATCGATTTTGAAACGTTGGAGTTTTAGTTAATTTGGAAAAATATCTATAATTTAAACTGTTTAAAATATAGTTTCTTAAAAGTTATTAATGCTCACAATCAGTAGGTTTATCACTTTAGATATTTAAAATTGTAGTATTTTAAAATTTTTTTATAATAATTATATGATGCTATCGAAGTATCGAATATTAATGAATGAGATATCACATTATCGTAATATCCAAGAATTTTACATGGATATTTTTTTGAGAATTTATTAAAGTGGTTTGATTTGTTGATACGTGTTTACGACGTGCATGCGTGAGAAATCGGGAGAAAATTAGAGGAAACTCGTGCGTGGGAAAACGACGGGAGTGAGTTAAGATCGAAAAGTATGCGTTGAGCATCGTAATATGAACCACAGTGATCGTTTAGAAATAATTTGCAAGCGAAATGAATGGGGAGCCGTCGGAGTTAACGCTCGATGCGGGGTGTCGAAGACCACCGATGTATAATATATTCCAGCGTTAACGAAATTGTTTGACTACATATCAATTTTTTCATTTAATACTTCATCGTCAAGACATTTAATTTTAAAACTTGATTAAAAAAGTGCTGGCAAATATAACAGGAATAATAAAGCACTTGTGGGATACGTTGTATACGTTGTATGTTAGAACAATTGATGCATTCGATGAATCGACGATCTCAAAGAACGATCATCCGGCTGACCTTTTCCTTTGCGTTAACTTATTAATGAACTGTTAGATCGTGATCGCCATATGTGTGTATGTATTTATATGCGTGCGTGCGCGCGCGTCATGTGGCGTTATCGATCGATAGCTGTTGACACGCCGTGCCATTCTATCTTTTTTTCTTATTTTTTATACGCGAGTTCTCTGTCTAAAATTGATTTACGATTCGACGTGCGGCGAATATTTCTTGATTAACTATTGATGCATTTTACCGAGGATCTAAATGTTTCTTTCAAACTCGTGAAATCTTGGAATCTCTGAGATTTAGATAATTCAAGTATCCAAGTTTTACGGTTTTGAAAGAAAATATATTACCATTTTGAATTTTTTAAAATACAAACCAGAGCTATAGTAATTTTAGAGAGAAGATTTAGAATTATGATATCTCGAATTTTTGGTATTATTTTGTATCAGAGTTCTAAATTAATAATTTAACAAGACTTTCAGTTTTTTAGCTTAAAAATTTTAAGATTTAAAGCTACTAAATTTTCGAATATTTTAAGCTTTTAGAAATTTTAGATTTTGTCGTTTTAAAAATATCTTGGGATTTTAATATATTTATTAATTGAATCAGCATTTTTACATTCTTGGGATCCAATTGGATCGATCCCTTTCTTGGTTCTGTTGACATTTGCGATACAAAATCGGAAGGGAGAATAGCAACTAGCAAGTTCGACCCTCCCCGTTCGTATGCGGTTAGTCAGCTAATCTTGGATCATCTTCCGGTGAAAGATCCCCTTTACTAACATTATCAGTCAAATCTGAAGTCAATAGGCAAACTGAGTTAGTGTCTTTGCCTAAATTCTCGATGTAATGTATAAGATTACATAATGTGTCAGTTTTTATAATTAACTTTTTTTTCAGCACAAGCAATTAAGAAAATAATTATTTTTTCTTGTTCTATTACATTTGCAATTATGTTTTGGAACCCTAAGTTGATTTAATTTCTTAACTCTAACAATTTTAAATCTTTAAATTTGTTGAGCTTTTGAAAACTCTGAAAGCACCTTAGAACTCCGATTATTTATTAGGTTATTTTTCACCCAACTGATCGGAAATAATTGATGTAATATTTCTCTAGTACAATGATCGGTGCGAAATAATTGACGCATCGCTTAGGATGCTCTGTGTAAAGTGCGATAGCGTACTACTGAGTTTTTAGTCACATTACCTTGAACAGGGTCGACTGAGTATCGCGGACAATGTATGTACATATGTCGCATTCCATTTCATGAAATTTCCGTACAGACACTAGTGAGATTATGCAAGCGTGCGGCGACGGCCGATTACGGCCAATCTTGCAAGCTGTCATGCAAGCTCAATGCTGTCATGCGCGATGTTTACGTTTGTCCATGTAAAGCGGCGATTCATTCTTCAGTTCTTTCGGTCATCGAATTTCTTTCGAAAAATTAAATCTTACAGTGGTCTTGTTATAAAGCCAAAATAATTAGTAATGTACACTATAAGAATAATTTTTGTTTTGTTTTAAATGCGAAATTCGAAGATAAGGTTAATTAAGATAATTAATATAAGTGGAATTAAACTAGAATTAAAAATAAGCCTCAGCTTTAAAATATTGTGTGCGAAACGAAAATATCGGCATCGCGATATGGGTATCCGGGGTATTTTAATCACATCCCCATTCGATACGTGCCCAAGAAGCTTGTTCGATGAATTCTCTCGTGGCGCAATGGAAAAAGACGCGCGATGCAAAATCGATAAGTCCGGCCTTTATGGTGCTCACGGTTCGAGGGTCATGGGAAATTGCCGCGGAATCACCGACGTTGGAATAAAGGAGAGTCATCGGCACCGGGAGCACCGGTGTCTTTACCCTTTTACTCTGCAAAACTGGCAGAAACGCGCCATGTTACACATGTTACACACATCTCTCCTCATACAATGAGTCTCCTCGTAATAATATTTGACCGCATTTCCGATTAACTAAGTTAAACTGCCGTGTGTATTTTCAACCGTGCTACTCGAAACTCGTCGCATGAATAACGTCGCATTATCGAGGTCAATATTCTAGAAACCTGAACATAGTTTCTGGCATGCGATACTCGTTCTCGTTTGGTGAAGTTAAATCGCTTAGAAATACGGAATCTCGTTAGAGAAAAAGAGAATAGGACTTGAACCTATTAATTTACTTATTTTATTTTATTTATTTTAATTATTAATTATATTTTACTTAAATTTGAAATTTAAATCACGAAATTTCTTTTTATTACCTCGAATTTTTTCTATTTAAATTTTTTATGTATAGAAAATTAGCGGATGTTTTAATAGCAGTTTCTTCGGCCAATTTGGAATCGATGTTTTTTCAGTGAAAACGTCGACATCAATAATTTTTGAATCATAAAAAATTTTTTTTTACTTTCATGTATATAAATAGTTTCCCTAATATATATATATATATATATATATATATATATATATATAT